CCCACCCAAGGAGCTTTTAAAAATACATCTGATGGTACAGCCTCTTTAGAAAACTTAGAAAATTAAGCATGTGCTCATCATTTAGCGCACAGTTAGACCTGTTTATTCTCAAGGAACAGACACCTGTCCACAGATCTTTGTAGCAGCTTTATTCGTAATAGTTCCAAACTGGAAACAGCCCAGTTTCCTGTCCTTCAGCAGGTGAGCGGCTAACAGAATGGCACATCCGTACAGTAGAACACTACTCAGCAACAAAAGGAATAAACCATTCATACATGCAACAATCTGGATGAATCTGCAGGTAATTCAGCTGAGCGAGAAAAGCCAATCCCAAAAGGTTACATACTGTGTGATCCCATTTATGTAACATCTTCGGAATGGAGAATGGATTAGGTGATTGCCGGGACGTAGAGACGGAGCTGGGTGGGGGAAGACCCTGTGTAGAATTTTTTAAAAAGACAGCTGGAAGGAACCCAGAAGCCTGAATTCCTTTTCGTGTGGATAAGGAAACCAATGTCTGGAGAAGTGGTTTGACCAAGGGCTGATGTCTGAGAAGTGGCAGAGGGAAGACTTGAACCAAAGTCTCTGTCTCTTGTGCCATGATAGTGCGTGCTTGGAAACATGGGCTCCAGGGCACCTGGGAGGCTCAAGTCAATTAAGCATCTGACTCTTGGTTTTGGCTCAGGTTGTGATCTCAGGGTCATGAGATCAAGCCCCTGCGTTGGGCTCCATGCTCAGTGCAGAGTTTACTGGCGATTCTCTCTCCCTTTCCTCCTCCCAGTAGTATGCACACGTGAACTCATATACGCTCTCTATCTCTCTCAAAATAAACAAATCTTAAAAAAAAAAAAAAGAAAGAAAGAAAGAAAATGTGGGCTCCAAAGTGGTAGGGTAGGATTTGAATTCCAGCTCTGCCATTTGTTAACTGTGTGACTCTGGACAGGTTGCTTAACCTCTCTGAGCCTCTGTTTCCTCACCTGTAAAATGGAATTAATACTACCCTTATGAGGTTATCCTAAGAATTATAACAAGTTATTTTCAAACTTGTGAAACGCCACTCACGCCACTCAACAGTATTTCCATCAGAAATCATACACACACACTAAAGCACGTGTAGCTGAAATGAAAGTTTAAGGGAATAGATACCCTTACTACATATGGTGCCCTCTGTTTTCTATTTTGGTTTTTAATAAAGCTGGTCATGATCCCCCAACTTGATATTTATGACCTCTGGCCTAAAGGCAAATAAGGCCCAGTGCCACAAACACGTACCATAGACCTGGTTTTCCTCTTAGTGTCACTGCAGTGCTCCTTGGGTCAGTCTGTGGGTAGGCATTCGGCCCAGGGTGGGTGCTGGTGGGGTTCCTAACACCCCCACAGCCTTGGGAGACTGGATCGGGTCCCTGTTCCTCCGAGCTTCCTCCTGGCCCTACTGGACTCTGCTTCTCGAGGGCCAAGATGGGCTTGCACACTGTGTGACCCCCAGACTGGCCCAGGGCCCAGACCAGACAGATGTGACCGGCGTTCCTTCACGGAGGCCCAGGAACGTCCTGGGCCCTCCGCCTTCCTGGTTGGTAGAGCGGGCCTGGTGCCTCCTGGGGCTCTTGGGGGCCTGGCTGGGCTCTGCAGACAAGGCACCTAGCGCGCCGCCCGCCGAAGCCCGTGAGCCTGCGAGTGAGGGCGCCGTTACTGAGAAGAGCTTGAGTCCACTCTCACTTTTTTAAACAACAGTAATTTGCAGAAATTAGTGATGGATTACTGGCCTAAGGACTTTCAGCTGAACTCAGCAGGTCAGTGTTTTGTGGCCCTGGCTGGAGAGTGGCTGCCTGAGAACACAGGAAGCCTTTGTACTGTCCTTGGGAGGAAAGCTTTATGAAGGCGCTTTTGGAAGCGGCAGAAGGCCCTGCTGCGGACCGTAGGTATGCCCGACCGTAACCAGGGCCCGGAAAGGCATTAGTCAGAGTCAGAGGAGCCGGGGAGCCTGGGATGCGGGCAGGATTGTTCCCGAAATCTGCAGAGGAAGCTCTGGTTTATTTGCTTGTCTGGCCAGTTATATAAGAAGTGCTGATGTTTTCCCTCCCGGCCGAGCCACTCACCTGCGTGCGGTCTGCTGCTCTGTGCGCCGTGTGCGCGCCTGCCAGGACGGGTGCGGCCGTTCCTCGGGCTTTTGTTGGGGGTGGGGGGATGGGGTTAACTATTAAAATTGATGCATACTACAAAGTTGGGTATGTTCCTCAGTGATACTTTGTAGCATTTCTTCAGGGGAAGAAAGAGGAAGACCTTTTTCTCCTAGCTCGTGGGGGAAAATGTATCCAGTGCCTTTTTTTTTTTTTTGGACGATCATTATTGAAATTGGCAGAGTATTACTCTTCAGATAAAATGTCTCATATTGTAGCATGAATCTCTTCTATGGGAAGCCCATTTTCCCCTAGCCCAGTCAGCTTCCCATTATGTGGTGTGCCAGGTAAACGAGAATCACACGCGCGTGCGCACGCGTGGGCTGGAATGGAGCTGGGTTGAACTTCTGAGGGGAGATGAGGCACTGTGGGCCAGTGTGCACCATTAACGGGAAATGGGACTGATTGTGGGCAGCATTTTGCCTTTTTTTTACAGTAAAATGACTGTAGTTACCATGGAATTGAACTTGATAGGTCCCCATATGCCTCCCTCCTCGGACCCCTTTTCACTTCGAAGACAGAGGGGAGGCTCCGTGTTCGTGGAGTGGACATTATCCGTCCACCTTGTGAGTGCCCAGCGCCCCTGATCTAACTGCTCGTTTTCGCTGGGCGGCAACAGATGGAGCCGTTTCTGCAGGGACTGAAACTTCATTAAATCACACGTTTCAGCCTGTGGCTGCGGCATTTGCACAGAAGGAGGAGGAGGTGTGTCGTTCCTCAGAGCCCACCAACTCCGAGCTGAGTCTCGGTTGGAATTTGATTTCCTCCTCCTGTGTGGTGGCTCGCAACAGTCCGGGGGGGGGGGGGGGGGGTGCTGGTGTGTGTGCTTCTGCTTTTCCTCTTTGCCAGCCCCTCCCCTTGCCAGCGAGGCAGTGGGCACCTGTGACGCGTACCTTACCCACAAAAAGGAATTGCCCTTTTTTGTGTGACAAGCACAAAATTTCTCAAATGGCGTCGACCAAGAGCCTTTTTAATGTTCTTCTGAATCTCACCAAGTTCTTTACGGTAGTGTTGCCCTTTACCCTATTTCTGTGGCGTTTCTGGCCAAAATAGCTGAAGATCATCAGCCTTTTGACATCTCTTACCGAACATCGCAGCGGGCCAGGAGCCAAGGTCCGGCCGCGTTGGCCTGTTTGGGGACCAGGCGCCTCTGTGTTCTCGGCATGTCAAGGCATTTCAGTCTTCAGTCTCTCTGTCTTCTGTGTATTCTTGATCCCTGGGAGGCGTCCTGACAGTTAGCAGGGAGACGGAGCTGGACCCTCGGGTAGGGACAGTTGACCAAACTCAAGGGCACTCTTGGGGACATCCTTCTCCAGCCTGTTTTTTTCATACCCACTGCCTTGGATGGTGGACAGGCCTCTCGTGCACCATGCAGGGGCCCAGGGTGTGATGAGGACTCCTTGCCCAAGGTTGTCATTGAACAGTCTTCATGTGGGATGGGAATCCTGAGCACCACCTGTCCCAAGTGAGAGAGCTTTTGTCACATTCCAACTGGAAATGCAAGAAGAGAATCTGAAGATTCAATAAAAAACAATTCTCTCATCCCTGAGATAAGCAGATTAATAGTATGTAATGTCAATATTTTGGCTGCAAACCATTGTCTCGCTGCTGATCCAGAAGAAATATGGTACTGACCCCGGAGCCTCATTTGCTTTCTGCTAGCGGTGTCTCTGTATGCTTTTTCTTCTTTTAAAAAACCATGATCTGGTTTCTTTTCCTTTGTCGTCTGAGGACTAGTTCCCGTCCAGCCAGAAGGACAGGGTTAAGTTCAGGCAGAAAGAAGAGCAGTTGGGAGTCACAGATTTCAGATGTCAGACCATTCCACTCTTTGTTTGGAAGCTGGTGTGCTTGACCCTTCCCCACTGATCTCCTCTTGTCTGTCCTCCTCCAGACTTTCCCTAGAGACAAGGTTCCGAATGCTCTGGTTAGCGCCTCGCAAGGTCCGTTCAGTCCCTCAGAATATGTTGAGGATTGATACTTTTTCCTCGTCTACCGCCTTTGTTTCCTGGGCTGCGTTTTCCAAAAGAGAAACAGCACAGAATCCTTTTCGCTGCTGGTTGGTTAGGGAGACGCTCATCAGTAGCCGAAAGAGGAGAAACTGGGACAAAAAGCGTAGCTAAAGTGGTTTTGTGGGAATGTGATTACAGAGTCGGTTTTCATAATAAGAGGCTGTTTGGCACCGTTGTCTCTGTGAAATGGGCTGAAACGCACACTCGTTCTTAGTGTCCACTGCATGCAGACTGCTGTGGTGGGTCAGCGAAGAGGCCCAAGGAAGGAAGATGCCAGATCCTCTTCCTTGGGGTGTTTATGTTCTTGGGAGGACAGGGAGAATTGGGGGGGGGTGCCCCGTGGCCAGCAGGAACATATGTGCGTGTTCTTAGTGACCACAGCTGCCACGGAGCAGTCCTTTAATGATGCTCCCAGGCTAGGAGGTTAAACCTTCTCATTTGCTTGAGAAAGAGCAAGAGGGAACCCTCAGTATCTTTACATTGATCTGGATCCCGAGCAGGAGGGAGGGGGAAAGGGAGAGGGATTTAGGCAGGCGGGATTTTCTCCCAGGCCTCTCAGCATGCAGACACACAGATCAATTTCTTATCCTGCGTTCAGCTGGACACTGGGTTAGAGACTGTGTTGATCAAGACGTCCCCTCCTGTTTCATATCATGTAACGCATTCATTGCAGCCACTGAGCCTAAATTACTGTTTGCTTTTTTTCTGCCTTTCGTCCCCTCCCTCCCTGAAACGGTAAGAACTCGTGTAAGGATGGAGTCAGTTTATCCGTGCTAATGCTTTGATTTTTCTTTTCTCTTTCTCTTTGCCACAGTAGGTAACCAGTTAGGGGCCTTGGTACATCAAAGGTAAGCAGTGGGTTATGTTTTATTATTTATTGATCATTTCTAATTGTTTATTGATCGACCATCTGTACTAGAGTCTTAGAAAGTCAGAGGTTGAGAATGGGAAAAACCAGGGGCTAGATTTCTTTAAGACTCAAGTTTTTTGTAGTCCTTTCCAAGACAGCGTAAGCACAAAGCAGAAACGAATGGGAGCTATTAAAAATCACCCATTATTGTATGTAAATTTAACAGACCTCTCGAGTGTGGGAGCTCTTTTCTGTCCCACATATATCTAATCTAAAAAGAGGAATTTTCCATCCTGAGTTGATGGTTTCCACAGTTTTACGAATCCTTAATGCCTCCATGTGAGCAGAGGTGTCCCAAGAAGTGTTCGTCTTTGGGCTTTTCCACAAGATAAAGCTTGTTATTCTCAAGGAGTCGTGGTCCTGGGCAGCCAGAAACCCAGGCCCCCCCGCCATGCCCTTGAGGAGGACTTTCCAGAGAACCTTGGAGAAGGGCCCAGTTGCTTCCCTGCCTCAGTTTACCCTCATAGCCTTCCCTTAAATTTTGAGGATTTAGAGAGCTACGGAGAGGTCTGGGCTTTAAGAAGACCAGTCTGTAAGATAGGATGTTTGTGGTCAAAATGTTACCCTTCAAATGGAATAAAATGTGCAGGAACCTGCCTCAGTTTCTCTCCCCTCGTGGATGACATTCTGTGTTGTGTCTCCATTACTGTAACATTGTATCCTTAATCTTCACCAGTAACAATACAGTTATATCCTCTTGTGTTCTACACAAGTGTTTGGGAGTTTCTAGAAATCATCAGGCCTCGGTTAACCAAAAGATTTAACCTGGGTTTTATTGTTACTGGTTTGCTTTTTTAGTGAATTAGAATAATTTAAATGATGTTGCTGTTAGTATCAAACATAATTTTCCTATAAAGCCATAATTAAGATTTTACTTTCCCAAGAATGTCGTACTTCGTGCAGTCAACAAGTTTCAGCCTCGCAGTCAGAATGGAGCTTTGTCTCGGGGCCCAGAGCAGCTCCTCTTCATACATTTCTGCCTCCAGGAGAGTCTGCTTCTCCCGTTCCCTGAGGGCTGAGGAACTGCTGAGTTCTGTGACAGTTTGTATTGTGATAGTGTTGAACCGCTCCCAGTAAATCCCCCAGTGGCACTTGCGGAGAACAGACAGGGCTACACGCATGGGCTGCGGTCTCATGGCCACACGCACAGGGGCACCGCGACCCTCCACCATGGCAGGGAAACAGCCCTCATGGGGACCCCGCGGCCTCTCCAGACGGGTCGGGCCCTTGAGGCTCGGCGTTTGTGTCCACAGTGCTGCTGACTTAGGGATTTGGCATTGTCTGATTTGGGGGGCGGGCTCAAACATCTCAAGACTGCAGCGAGGATCTCTGCACATATGTAAGCCGGGGAGGTAAGCTCCTCGGGGAGAGGACTGTCCGCTCTCCCCAAACTGAGACGGTGGCAAGTGCTGTCGCGTCTTCTGCCTTTCTCCTGCGTGCCACGCTTTCCCTAAAAACGTGGGCTGGATTCGATTCTTTTCGTGATGGGTAAAAATCCAGCTGTGTGAGAGATGTTTAAAAATGCTTACCCTTTTTTCTTTTTAAACTGCTTGAATTTAGCTTCCTCCTAAGGTAAATGTTTAGATTTAATTGCTTTCTGGGGCTTTGGGCAATTGGGTATTGTCCACAATACACTCTCTGGCAAATTTGAAGGTTTGTTTGAAAGAACCAGCGCAGCCCTTGTTTTAAAAAAAAACACACACAAAAACAAAAAACCCGACACATAATGAATGGAATAGCGTTGAACGAAAGTACCTTGCAGAGTAAGGTGATTATTTTGTCCTGGTCAACACTGATTAGGCCTCTGCTGGATACTGGGTTCCATTTGGAGCATCTCACCCAAAGCGACAGATCAGTTAGAGAGAGGCCAGAAAGCAATAAAAAGATAGGGAAACCAGGAATGTTGAAGAGAAATTCAGCATTGCTATCTGTGTTTTAAGGAGACTGGCAGAGAAGTCTAAGCTAACTTCACAGACCCCAAAGAATCTTTTAAAGTGTTAGGCAATACCGAGAAGAAAGGGAGTTGTTTCTAGAATTGATGGTTTAATAAAAAATCAGAGGTTTCTCCCTCTTTCACGGCAAGAGAGGAGACTGGGATCTTTTCCAGAAGTGATTAACCAGAGGTCCCATGAGATGACACTCTTTCCCGAGGGCTGGGGACTTATTGGCATGATTTGTTTTAAGTCTCTCGTCTTCCGGCATTGCCAATATGGGAAATGTGGGGAACCTGAAATGGCCATGAAATTCTTTATATGTTTTTCCAAAATGTTCTTTGTTTTTAGGGCAGTAATAACAGAAGAATTCAAAGTGCCTGATAAGATGGTTGGATTTAGTAAGTATCCACATTATGTACTTCGCCCTGATTAATCTTTCAGTGTGACCGTCACTGTGGTAGAAGGCTTTGCACACTCTGTCCCCCAGAGCCCTTGAAGGGCTGCAGGTCTCTCTCCAGGCTGAGAGATAGAGAGCCACGAGCCCCGGCCAGTCTCTCTCCCCACCCTACCTCTCTCCTCACTTCAGCTCGAATACCCTGTATCTGTCCGCTGTGTTTCTCATAGGATTTCTGTGGCTCGCCGAGGCCACCGTGATTTGCAGTGCCTCGGGCCAAGTGTAAATGTTTGCTGAGTTAATTAAGTCATTCATGCGTGGTTGAACATGGAGCGGAGGCTGTTCTGACCCTCTTCCGTTTGTTTCAGTTATCGGCAGGGGAGGTGAGCAGATTTCACGGATTCAAGCAGAATCTGGTTGCAAAATTCAGATTGCCTCAGGTAAGGCTTCTTTCTTCATAGATCTCAGTTTGGTAGAAATCCGTGTTTTGCCAGACTTTCCAGATTCGTTTCCTTTGCTCGTTGCTTAGAAGTTTAGGGACCTGAGTAAGTATATGCGGTTGCCGTTCTCCTTGTGCTTTTAGAGCTGGACTTCCAGATGAGAACCAGAAAAACCAGGGCAAAAGCGGGCCTGGAGACAAGGCCACCCGCCCACCTGGCCTCTGGAGGAGGCCCTCCGTAGTTCTGTGGCTCTGTGTGGCCCCGGCCAGACACCGGCTGCTCTAGGACCGCAGTTTTCTGTACCAGGAGGTTATGCCAGACAGTGGGGCCTAGAGGAGAGCTGTGGCTTTGGGGTCACTCCTGGGGACTGCTCACTGGCTCCCCTGGATCAGAACCTCCCCCTATCCCCCCACTCCCCATTGTGGAAAGAGGCCAAGGCCAGCTGGGGGTTCTGGCTAAATTAGCCCGCGTGAAACACAGTTCAGGACCTTTCCCAGCTGGGGCTGTTTGGCCTATGCGTTACGGAGAGAGACAGATTGAGCAAAAGAAGCTTTTTTTTTTTTTTTTAAGATTTTATTTATTTATTTGACAGAGATCACAAATAGGCAGAGAGGCAGTGGGGCAGGGGGCAGGGGGAAGCAGGTTCCTTGCTGAGCAGAGAGCCCAATGTGGGACTCGATCCCAGGACCCTGGGATCATGACCTGAGCTGAAGGCAGAGGCTTTAACCCACTGAGCCACCCAGGCGCCCCAAGAAGCATTCTTAACATTATTAATAGTTTGAGCAACTCGTTTGAATTTGGTCTCTTTCCATAGCGGATGAGGGGGTGTGGAGGACTGTTGACTAGAGAAGCATTTGTCTGTTTAAAAGATACATGTTACCGTGTTTCCAAGGCAGTAACTGTTATTAGTTTTTTATTTATTTATTTATTTGTTTGTTTATGGAGTTAAGAATTTTAAGAGGCAGGTTTTTTAAGAACACAGGAAAGCATCGTGTGGTGTCGGAAAGCAAGCTTTTCCTCTCTCGTCAAATGGCCCGGAACTATTTCCACATAGACGTCCCTGCTCTCTCAGGAAATTCACACACTACCTGGTACCAGGCCTGGTGTGGGTCTACCATTAAATTGCTCACTGGTGTGCAAACAGGTGACCGTAACCCACTCTGCAGGCGGAGAAACTGAGGACGAGCGGGTGACGCGACTCAGGCACTCCCTGGCACACAGCTGGGTCAGAAAGGAAGCTGAGCCCGCTAGGACCCGCTGTCAGGGCTCCGCGGCGTCCCGCCCGCTCCCACTGCAGAACTTGTTTCTACTTTGGGAATCTAGGGCGGAGCCAGCAGCCTACCGTCCTCTCCACAAGCGGAAGCCAACTGTCTCTTCCTGGGGCCCAGGCTTCTGTGGGGCCGGTGTAGGGACCAGGCCAGAGAGAGTCTGTACACAGAGGCACGGGTGCACGGTTGCCTGGTGCCCACCAACACACCTCATCTTCTTGATTCTTCTTATAGAGAGTTCTGGGATTCCAGAGAGACCCTGTGTACTTACCGGAACCCCAGAAAGTATTGAGTAAGTTTATTTTATTTACTTCTTCCTGTCATTCTTCTTCCTCCTTCCCCACATGGGGAGACGTGGAAGGGCCAGATTGTTACTGAGCGCTGTGGAGCCGCGCCGCAGCCTGGCCACAGCAGCAGGTGCTTCTGTGGAGAAGGATCTGGGAGGTTGCCATGCCAGGGGAGTTTTCTGTTACTTAAAACACATAAGGTATCACTGTGGGTTTTTTTTTTCCCCCCAAACGCTACAGAATTTCTGGCAGCCGCCATACCATCCACTCCGTACACCAGGTTCTTTAAAGAGTGTACACTGGCCCCGTCTGAACACTCTCATCTGCTTCCTTCTTCCTCGGTAACACCTCCTTTCCCTGAGCAGGTCTGCCGTCGTGAGCCTGTCACTCGGTGAACCGTTGAGAATCCTGGCACCAGGTCCTTTGCCCGGGGCTGATCCCACTGCCCTTCTGACATTTGTGAACCAAATGAGTTGACTCTTCGTGGCCCTTGCTCCTCTCAGAGGGCTGCACAGACTGGCCAGAGGGTGTCTTGACGTTGAGCGGGTGACGTTGTCACCACCTTACGGCTGGCATTGCTTTCTGACTGTGGGACACCCGTGCTCAGAGCCTCGTGTCAGAGACAGGCCTCGGCAGTCCGCGCACCTCCCGGGGGAATGGGGAGGTACTAACTTAAGAGTCTGCTCGCTCTCCTTTTTCAATCGACTGAGTAGCGTTGCATTTGGGGACAGGGGTGCTAAGATTATGCCTGCCTCAGTAGATAGGGCTGTTTTACCATTTCCATTTCTCCCGGAGTCCAGATGAGTTTAAATTCTCTTGTTCTGCTGCAACATTGCAAGCAGCGAACCAGAACAAATAGCGCTGGCAGGTGTGCATTATAGGGCAAGCGGGATGGTTTTGCCGGGGTCCAGGCATCTTTCTTCCAACACAGGTTAATTTAGTACACAAGCAAAATATTAAAAAGCTGGTGTCGCTGAGAAGACCGACCAGGCTGATTCTGTACGCAGAGAGGCTCAAGACAACAAAAGGCAACATCCGTTTCCTCCCTTTCTCTTCTTTCCTCTCCTCTTTTAACCATTCCGGCTTCCACTTCTCTACCCAGGCAGTCGGGGCAACAGCACTGTAACTTTAGGAAGAAACAGTTTCATCTTCTTCCTGTGCTGCATAGTAGCTGAATTCCTCCCTAGCAGAGGAACCAAAAACTAGATCATATATGGTGATTTAAAGAACAAACCAGCCAGGGGAGCTTCTGGTGCTGAAAAGGCAATCGCCTCGACAGGTGGCCTGGACAGCTGGGCCGGGTGTGCTGTGTCGACCCTGCGGTCTCCCTCTCCTGCCTCCGAGTCCCCCGGCACCAGACAGCATCACAGGGGAAGCCGGGGCCCGAGAATCCAAGCGGACAGGCACAGAGCCCGCATCTGGGGCTCTGCGGCTGCACTGGGTCCCGGCCTCTCCTCCCCGCTCCGGCGCTCCTAGCCTGAGCTCAAAAGCCAGAGAGCAGGTTGGTTAGGGAGAAGAGATTGGGAGTCTGGGAATTCAGATGGTGACTACTAACCCTCGCTTTCTTTCTTCCCATCTCTCTCGTTGCTCTCTCCTGCCTGTATTTAACCAATGTCTCTTGAGTGTCTCCTCTGTGGGAAGCATTGTGCCAGACTGAGGACCAGAGAGAGAGGCAGGGGGATCAGAGGTGGTCGCCGCCGCGGGAGTGGCTGACGCTTGTGATGGGAGACGAGACGTGTTGGTGCCGGGACTGCCGGACTCCCTCACGGGCAGAGGGCAGGCCGGACAGGGCTGTGTTGGAATGTTGGCGTGTGGTGTGTGTTGCTTTTAAATTCCAGCCCGGTAGCGTGGCAGATGGCAGAGACCTCCCGGGTTGTGGGGGCAGGAGCTGGAGCTGGATGGAGGGCTGCCTTGATTCCTTCGTGGTCTTTCCCCCGTGCTGTTGCTCTCCCGTGGGCGCCCAGCACCTTCATTTAATGCTCCTTCTCTTGTGATTCTTTTCCCTCCCAAAGACAAGCCAAACGGCTCCTGGGACAGATTGTGGACCGCTGTCGGAACGGCCCTGGCTTTCACAACGACATAGATGGCAATAGCACGATCCAGGAAATTCTTATCCCTGCGTCCAAAGTGGGTCTGGTCATTGGCAAAGGAGGGGAAACGATCAAGCAGTTGCAGGTGTGTGAGGCTTGAGCGGCTCTCCAGCGGGCCTTCTGGGACTCAGGGGTGGTGGGGAGGGCTGGTCCTACCTCGGACTACCCCCCGCTGGGCAGGCCGTGCACCCCTCTGCTTCCAAGGTGCCACAGATCCTCCTTCGGATGGGTGCTTATGAACAGGCACTGTGGGCAGGTGCGACGGCCAGTGTGATGCCCTCACTGGGGCAGTGACGCTCTGTGGGGGCTATTTTTACTACCAGGTGACAGCGTCTCAGGTGAAAGTCCTGTGTGGACTTTCCAGAGCTGAGGCTCCTAGCCAGCTGTACGCTCTCTCACTAGCTGTGGGATCTTAAATACGTGTGTGTATTTGTCAAGGGCTCGGAGTCCTTGTTGGCCTCACTGCTGTCACGAAGCAGAAGTGGTAACTCGTGACTTTATCTTTACCTCAGACCCTCGGCACAGAGCCCGTGACTGAGTAAATGCTCCCCGAGCCTTAGCTGCTGCTGTTCCAAAATCCCTCGTGTGAGACACGGGGGCCAGACGTGTTCAGGATGGAACACCCCGGCAAGTTCCGGGGCACACCCTATAACCAGACTCCTGTTGGTCTAGCCAGATGCAGTGACAGTCACCCCCCGTGAGAGGGGCTACACATACGCTTCCGAGAGTTCAGGTTCATTTTGCAGCCAAATGAGCTGTGTACAAACGTTTATTTCCCCTCCTGGGCTTTTGAGGTTGCAGGTCGGGGCTCGTGGGCAGCCCGGTGCGTGCACTCCGTGCCCAGCCCTCAGCCTGGTGGGCGCTCTGGTGCCGGCACTAAGGTCCTGGAATCCAGAATCCACCGTTTGCTCCTTCCTGCCTCAGCTCTGGGACCTTGGGCACCTGCTGTCGGGCCCGCCCCATCAGTGAAATAGGGCAGCGGGAGCCCTTCTGTCTCAGAGCTGTGCTCGGGCCCTAATGAGAAGCCGTCACTGCCTGGCACCTCAGAAAAACTGATCCAGTTGGCTATTCTGGAGACCGGGAAGGGAGGAGAGTTTTGGGAAACGGTTTTCCGTGTTGCATACCTGGCAGCTGTCCAGCATGGCCTGCGCGCTGACGTCCTCCCAGGGCAGCATCCTGTGGTCGGAGGGACGGGGCTGATGGTGGACGGGGCCCTGCCCCGTGCTTGCGGCGCGTGCGTGTGCTCCTCCTCACGGCCGTCCTGGCGTGTTGCCCCCACAGGAGCGGACAGGTGTGAAAATGGTCATGATCCAGGACGGCCCGTTGCCTACAGGAGCAGACAAGCCTCTCCGCATCACAGGAGACCCGTTCAAAGTACAGGTAGGGGAGGGACCACGGATGGAACAGGTCCTGCTTGGGCGGTCGCAGTGGGGGTTGGGGGGCTCGCGTGTCACTCAGGAAGTTGTGAAACTGGGTGTTCTTTGTTTAAGGGGAGCTGTTGTCCCAAACCGGGTGTGATGGAAGGGCTGTAGGGATGTCCTACTTTCAGCCAAGCCACTAGCCCCAGGTGTTCATTAAATGAATTCGGAGCCAACGAGGATGGAGTTCCTCGTTTACACCGGCCGTATTTTGAGAGCCTAAGAGCCACGTGAGGATGGCAGTGATGGTCGTGGCCGGCGCATGTTTTGTTGCCCTGATGAGACGTGGTCTCCCATCTCTGGGCTCTGGGCACCTCAGCCGCAGGCTCTCTTCGCTCTTGCTCGCTGCTTCTCTCTTGGCCCCTCTTGCAAGACCTCCAGCTCCGGTGGGGGAGGTGAGCAGCCCCCAGGCATACGTATGCCCTCGGAGCGAGCATCCTGTGCCCCGACCACCCGGCCACAGAGGAGAGAGCCCGTTTCTGAAAGCAGTGAGGGGCTTCGTCCTAGACCATCTGGGGCAGGTCCACCCTCCGACTCTCACTGTCAGCAGGAGTGCGCGTGGGCTGCGGGTGTGGGACGTGTCTGTTCCCAACTACAACTGTTCTTTTCCTGCCCGCGGCAGCGTGCTGTGCCTTTGCTGCATTTAGCGGAGCTCCAGGGTGATGCACCTCGGCGAGCTAGTCAGCCGCAGCTGTTTCTCTGTGGGAGCTCTGGGGCTTTGAGCCAGCCAAGGTTACCAGTCTCCGGCAAAATATGCCCCTGATTCCTCCCCTCCCACGATGCCTTATTTACGAATGGATGTATTCATGTGGGTGCTCATTGGTGTCTGAGTGCATTTTTATTGTAATCAACACACGATATTATGTCCATTTCAGGGGTGCAACATAGTGACTCAACACACGGGGAAATTCTGTTACGGAGCGGCTCCCCATAAGCGCGCTTACCCTCCGTCACTGTGCAGTTATTAAAGTATTAGTGACTCTATCCCCTGTGCCGCACTTCTCAGCTGCGTGGCTTCTTTCTTGTATAAATGCAAGTTTGTACCTCATAATCCCCTTCATCTGTTTATTTCCCCCAGCACTTAATGCTCTTCTCTGGCTTGACTCAAGCTGGTGTCGCTGGTAGTTCTTCTGGTCCAGACACAGACGTAAAATCCTGGTTTTAAAGCAGGATTGAGGGCCAGTGGTGAAACCAGCCTCTTTCCTTAAGCTCCAGGTGGGGGTACGCCCTTCACTCCCCTCCAGCAGGCCAGGGTCCCCCAGGTGCCTTGCCCCCCAGGGCTTCTAACCTCCCTGAGTGTGTACAGGGGGGCTCCCTGCTCGTCTTCCATGGTGGAACCTTCATTCTTTTATGAAAGGAACGCTAGAGCGAAGAGTGTATTTCCTTGATGTTCCCGTGATTTGCAGGAAAATCTTGACAACCAAAGGTTTTTAGTTTGTTTTTTTTATTTTAAAACTACGTGTATTCCACATTTTTTATATGGGAAAAGCCGTTCGCTGTGTTTAGGATAAATTGTTGGTCGTTTGTTTTCTCTCCTCGACTTTTTATTATGAAAAACTTGAAACATACAGACAAGTTGAAAGGGTAGAGCAGTGAACACATACATATGTAACCTCACCCTGTCATTTTGCCATGCTTGTGGCACTTATTTCTGCTTGACCATACCATTTCTAAGTAAGTGGCAGGCGTCATGACCGTCTGCCCCTGGATCTTGTATGTGTCTCCTAAGAATAAGAACTAATTTCTATAACCAGGACTAAGAAAATGATAGCAAGTCCCCTAACATTCTCTTACAGTCAGTCCTACTCCAGTTTCTCCAAATGTCTGAAGACTTCATTTGCTGTTTTGGAGTTTTTTTGGTTTGGTTTGGTTTTTCCAGAACCAAGATGCAGTCTGGGTGCCCATGACCTTGAGTTGTTATGTACACCTAACGTTTAGTGCAGATTCCTGTGCAGCCGGGACCGTTGTGGGGAGGGTGGGCCAACAAGTGCATTTGGGGGCAGAGGACGCTGAGTGTGCCTCCGAGAGCGTCAGGCCCGGCAGGTAGTCTTGCCAGTTGGTAATCGGGGTATTTGATCTCTGGGAGCTGGAAGTTATTTTCAGGCCCCCTGGGCTGGCATTTTCCCTTTACCTCCCCGGGGCTCCTGTGGGGTGGAACCTGTCCACAGAGCTCTCAGAAAGAGACGGTGTGCCAGATGCCTCAGGCCACAGTCATCAGGCTCTGACCCAGCACACATGTGCCGATCTGACTGTGGTTTAAAGCCGGCTGGGCCCTGTGTGGATGCCTTGGGCAACGTAAAGAACACGTCACCTAGGACTCAATCTCTGTGACCCTCCCCAGCAGCCCACCCGTGTCCCGTGTTGGAACGCAGGAAGTGAGCTGGGCCCCAGCTAAGCGCCTTCTGGGCCTGTGAGTCTGACGTAACAGGCTGTGGTGTGGAAATTTCACCCGGTGTCATGGCTTTTCTTAGGCGTTTGGTTCCCATAATGCCTGTCCTCTGTGTTTACACAGCAAGCAAGAGAAATGGTATTGGAGATCATCCGAGAAAAGGACCAGGCTGACTTCCGAGGTGTCCGAGGGGACTTCGGTGCCCGCGCGGGAGGAGGCAGCATAGAGGTATGCCTGTCCTGCGGGCTAGTTCCCGGGCAGACAGGCCGCACTTTGGTTAGCTCTTTAACCTTGACTGAGTGGGCTTTGGTTCATCTTCAAAGCCAGGGTGGGTGTGAGGAAGGACGGAGAGAGAGTCACAGCCAGAGAGAAGGGGAGGGAAGGGAGCCAGCTGCACGCCTTTCAGGGAATGAGGCCGTCGTCCTGGTTATGAGCTTTGCCTCAAGGCTGTTCCTGCTGCCCAGGTCGAGACCAGAGGCCGGGCTTTCTCGGTGCTCTGCATTGTGAGCGTAGCAGACCTGGAAGCCCAGCTTAACTGATGAGGTGGAATGGGATGAAAAGCTTTCCTTTACTTCTTAAGAAACTTTTAAAGATTCATTTATGAGAGAGAGAATATGTGTGCGGGGGCAGGGAGGGGCAGAGGGAGAGAATCTCAAGCAGGTTTCCTGCTGAGCACAGAGCCCAATGCAGGGCTCGATCTCACAACCTGAGAGTCGGGCACTTAACCAGCTGAGCCACCCAGGTGCTCCAGAAAGCTTTCCCTCGCAGTGGAGCGCCGCGGTAACGCTTCACCTTGGATAGGGCTTGTGAATATCGTGCTTAGTAAAGTAAGCTGGGTACGGGGGATTCCACCCCAACGTGGTGTCCGGAACGGGCAAGTTCTTCGAGACAGAACGTTGTGCAGAGGTGACCAGGGCTGATGGAAAGAGTCTCTCTCTAATGGCTACAGAATTTTGGGGGGCGGCGGGGTGGTGAGGAAAAGGTTTTGGGGGTATAGAGACCAGTGGTGGTTACACAATGTTGTGAGTATATTTCATGCCACTGAACCGTATTCTTACAAATGGTTAAAATGATGAAGATTATGTTCTGTATATTTTAGCACAATAGAAGAATGAAGGGGGGATAAAAATACACTTTTAGGGACCACCAATATAATCAGCGTCCATAGTATAGTTACGTTAAGTTCGTGGAGTTGGGAAATAAGCTTGCCGCTTTCAACCTTTTCTGCAAAAAGTTTATTATTCTTCATTTTATAGCTATCGTGATCAAATCCGAGATGTGTCATATATTTAATAGGTAGGAATGCAATCCTCAATCAAGATAGTTTTCCAAAGAGGGGAAGATACGCTAGATCATATTTCCAGGAAGGCACTTGTAATGAAAATCAAGTCTGTGTTTTGGGTTTGTCTTTTTCAGTGTATCCTCTAAGAAATAACAGATTTGCAGACAGCTCTGATCAGGTTTTGTTTCCCTGTGCTCAGGTGTCTGTGCCCAGGTTTGCTGTTGGGATTGTAATAGGAAGAAATGGGGAAATGATCAAAAAGATTCAGAATGATGCCGGGGTGAGGATTCAGTTCAAGCCAGGTTGGTTTCCATGACTGTCAAAACTCCTTAGTGCTCTGAAGAATCATAAAGCAACACAAGGACTCTGTAACTAGCTCATGTGTGTGTCCCCCACTCCCCCTCCCACCAGTACTATCACCAAATTACCAATCTAGCTTTCTCCTCTGGGCCCTCATAGCATTTCCAGCTTTTAATTTTGTTCAGTAAAGACTCAAAAAAAAAAAAAAAAAAACTGTTATTTTGACTTCACTATTTAAAGATAAAACCATTTTAAAAAAGGACTAACGTCTTAGCATAAAGGACGGTTTTTTAAATTTTGTAGATTTACCTTCATGAGCAAAATTATTGACATTGTCTTAATTTTCCTCATTCCTCTAAAGTTGGAAAACTGTGTGATAGGTTCATGTTTGGCAACATGGCCATCGCTCATGTCTGCCTTCTTTTGCTTTATTGTTTAGCGTTTCTGTAATAACTTTTTTTAATGCCTGTAATTACCTAAGAGGCGAGTGTTGACATGAGCCATGCAAAAAGATGGAGCCGCACGTGCTCCTCCGTGCCTCTGGTGGGAATACTGATCGCAGGTCAGGTGACCTTTGTTTCCAGCTGAAGTTGGGCTTTTCCTTACGCTGCCTCTCACTTTGTCCTGCAGACGATGGTATCAGTCCAGAGAGAGCCGCGCAAGTCATGGGACCTCCAGATCGGTGTCAGCACGCGGCGCACGTCATCAACGAGCTTATCCTCACAGCCCAGGTGGGTTGGCTCTCTGGGTTTCTGCTGTGTCACCAGCAAAAGCAGGAAGTGCCACAGGGGTCTTGGGGCAGCGCCGTAGAGCTCTCTCCAGTCGCATTTCTGGAACTCAGCGGTCTTTTCAGTCACCCGCCTCTGGGGACATGGCCAGCGGCTTCTCTACACCTGCTGTTTCCTGCCTTCCTGTATTTTGTTACTAGCTTCTTGCTCTCCTTCCTTTGTTATCCCAGGGTCTGGGTTTTCTTGACACAGGAAGTTCCTAACTACACCATTAGGAGAAGTGCAGTGCGGGTCACCATGGGTCAGACCATCGAGTGCCTTTCGCGTGGAACTGCGTTAAGTCAACTACAGGGCTCCGGGGGCTCTCAGTCAGCTCAGTGCTCGACTCTGGATCGAAGTTCAGATCTTGGTCTCAGGGTCGGGAATTCAAACCCCGAATTGGGCTCCATGCAGGGCATGGAGTCTACTAAATAAATAAATAAACTCTTAGCCTCAGAAAACACTTCAGGCTCCTCCAGAGTCTTTTTTTTTTTTTTTTTTTTTTTTTTTTAGATCTTATTTATTTGACAGAGAGAGATCAGAAGTAGGCAGAGCAGCAGACAGACAGAGTGGGGGAAGCAGGCTCCCAGCTGAGCAGAGAGCCTGATGCGGGGCTTGATCCCAGGATCCTGAGACCATGACCTGAGCCGAAGGCAGAGGCTTAACCCACTGAGCCACCGGGTGCTCCTCCTCCACAGTCTTAAAGCCATCTTCACGCAGTGGATTCCGTGTGCATCTCGGGGCACTAGAGCAAGCTTGTGATGCTGTTAGCATCTCTGCGGGGGCCCCTGCTGTTCAGTGCTCCGGGAACCCCTGGGCCTCACGCTGGGTCGGCAGGTCTCCCAGGTGTGCTGAACTGAGGGCAGGTTTAAAAACACCTGGAGCCAAGGAGAAGCACGGGATTAGAAACCGTAACCCCTCTGCCATGAGCCGTGTGAGCTGGGACAAGCTTCTGAGCCTCTCTGGGCCGAGCTGTGAGCCACAAACCAGAGGGTGGAGGGCGTGCAGTGACACCCATGCGAGCCCCCAAGTTGCCGAGTGTCCGTGTTGAACTTAACAGCGTGACAGCCCCCACCACGGACTTCCCTAATCGGCAGATCCCAGAGCGGAGCTTGGGCTGCTGTCAGAGTCCTGGGCAGTTCTTGGGATGCGACAAGTTCGGAAGAGAGTGCCTGAGTGCGCCCAGCATCGTCTGCAGCAGGAAGAAGCGACAGACCCAGAGCTGCGGGGGCACCTGGGAGACAGCCTCCCCTCTGACATTCTGCCGCAGGCCGGGAGGTCGGCTGTGTGTGCACGCGCGTGTGCAGGCATTTTCACGTAAATCCCTAGAATTGCCTCGTTTACTCACGATTTGTGTCTCAGAAGAGCCGAGTGCAGGGGAAGAAGTACTCCAAGCCTTTCTGCGGGTTTAGATTCGGGGAGGGGAGCTCGGTTTACTCTCCATCGGCATGGGTGGGCTTTGCTGAACATTGTCCACTGTGTTGAGCATCGGCTCGGCTTCTCCCTTCCGCGAAGGGGCTCTGGGCTAGACCAGGTTTGCCCTCAGCATCTAAAAAAGACCATAAATGCTGCCGCTCCAGGGTGACTCGGGACAAAGACCTCCCATGAGATTGCTGACCCTGAATGAAGGGAACCTTCTGTTAGGCGCTGGCCGGGGGGTTGTGCTCTCTGCGGGGGGCCCGGTGTGAGCATGTCGCAGGCTGCTCCACCCCCAAACGCTGGCCCCACACACCTGGTTTGTTGCCCCCCAATTTGGGGAGAATGGGACAACCGACTTTCTTAAAAAGCCTTTTATCCTTTCCGCTGGTTGGCTTGTGAGGTGCCCCGACCGCCCTCAGCAGTGTCTGCAGATGGGAGGGCTGGAGGCCTAAGTCGGGTGTCCCTTTGAGATGCCCGAGGCTCTTTCGCATCTAACGCCCGGTTTCTGGTAGGCCCAGCGGGCGTTAGCCACCGGGAAAGGGCATCAGCATGGAGGAGAAAAGCAATGCCCAATACCTGGACAGTAGGGCCCGGGCTCCAGACACAGGAGTTTGTGCCGACTGCCTGTTTCGGTCGAGTCTGGTGGGGCCGCTGGTGTAAGCATGGGTTCGTCTGCGCCTGTCCTCCTGACTGCGCCTGGGGTTTGTGCTAATTCTGGCTTGAAAGAGCACCTCCGAGGCTGGCATGGGGAGAGGTGCTGAGGTTCCAGCGTGTGGCACTGGTTACATCCTGTCACTGCACCTCCTCCCTGGGCTGAAGAGCGGTCCCATGGCAGTGGCAGAAATCATCACTTGAGCTCTGCTTTCTTCCCAGGAGAGAGATGGCTTCGGAGGCCTTGCGGTGGCCAGAGGACGAGGCCGTGGCCGTGGCGACTGGAGCGTGGGAGCCCCTGGTGGCATCCAGGAGATAACCTACACGGTCCCAGCAGACAAGTGCGGCCTCGTCATAGGCAAAGGTGAGGGGCCGCTGCTGGGGTTTCGTGGTCCCCCTCCCTCTGCCCTACCTTCCTCCCCGCTCCCCCCGTGCAGACGGGGCCCCTGCAGTGCCTCCGGAGTGTGAAGTCAGGTCTGTTGGCGGCACCTAACTGCAGGTGCCCAGCCTGCGACTCCAGCTGCCTTCCGTAGGGAACCTGCTGGTCCCTACGGTCTTCCTGCCAGCATGTGCAGAGGGGACTGTCGGTTATCGAGTCCGAACAGACCAGAAGTGAGACCCCCCCACCCCGGTGAAGCTCTCCGCGAGTATGTGAAGCTCCCGGTGAAGCTGTGTGGGTTGCCGCAAAGGCACCCTGCCCAGTGTGAGGGGCCTCTGGGTGTTTGTCCATCGACTGATTAACGATTAACATGCCTCCTGGGAGCTCAGAGGAACAGTTAAGGTAACAGCTCGAGCGAAGATGGCCCTCTGACAAGCATGTCACTTTTTGTCCTGACTGGATTTGGGTATTTGGTCCGTATTGACACATATGAAAATAGCGTTTATCTTTTGAGCACATTTACTGTGAGTAACAGACACCCTGTGGAGGGAAATAAATACTGATTGACTCGTCGTTTCTAGGCTTTGTAGGGAACATTAGGTCGGGAACCCTTGTTAGTGGCTGATGTGGCCCCTAGCCGTCCTTCACTGTGAGCCAGGGGAGAGCAGGCAGATTTCTGGGCTGCCGAGCGGCCTTCTCCGCAGTGGGCTGGCCTCCCTGTGGGCTCTCCGGGGCCCCCCCACCCCCAGCAACACAGGCTGAGGCCTTTGGGTCTGCCTTCGTGCATGTTTGTTTGACAACATGTGGAGGAAGTAAATACAGGCCTCCCCCACCACTGACTGCCTCCAGCCCCCCGCACCCCGCCCCCGCCCAGAGTATCTCCCATTTCTGCTACCACCAGACCTCTCTGACCTATGGGAGGGAGCTAATGTCCCACAGACGGTGGTTTGGGTTTGGGAACATACTCGACGGAGAGCTGAGGCTGCCTTAGCACGCTCTCCCAGGCCAGCATAGGGGGCCTCCTGCCCCTCTCATTCACCTTCTGGAGTCTGCATTTGGCCCTGCCGTGGTCGGCGTGTGTGGTATGTTCCTTCGAAACATGTATCTCTGTCTGGGTGTCGTCTTCTAGATCGTTCATGTCTCGGAGGCAGTAGGAACAATGTGGGTTTGTTCTCATGTCCTGGCAGGGTGCACGTGCTGATCAGGGCTCAGGGCTGCTGTCAGCTGCCCTGATGCTGTGGCGACTCAGATCCGCCGCCCAGACCGTCAGCGCGGCTGCGGGGAGATTCGGACCAGTTGGTGCCCGTGGGTTGAGAAGCAGAGCTAGGATTCTGCGCCTTCTGAGGGCCATTTTGTCAAGGAGAGTTGACTCAGTGGCCTGGTGCGGCCTTGCTGTCTTCACTGCGACCGTTCCTGGTAGTCAGGGAAATCGGGGTGTGGGCAGGACGCCCCTTATGGTTTGTCCTCGACAAAGTCATGCTGATCGACTCCCACGGGAGAGTGATGGCAGCATGGAGCAGTGACTGATCTGTGTGTGACCGAAGTTTGTCAGCCAGGGTCTTTCTCCACCGCCCCCCACCCACACACACACACAGGGGCTGGGCGTGGGGGGTACACCCTCTTAAGGCACGTGGTGAGGGAGACGGGAGAGGGAGCCACAGGCAGGCAGGCAGGCAGGCTGTGCTCCCCCCTCCCCAGCTCTAGTCCGTGGACAGACGCTGTGCCTCCCCGGGCCCCTGCTGGATTTCCATGATAAATAACAGCAGCGGCGACAGAGCGACCAGCCCTGCTCTTGTCAGGCAGGCCTTTTAGCAGGTTTGATTAATTGCTTTACGATTTCACGTCCAGCTGAGGGGCCACTGGTGGGTCGCTTCTGCCCCCCATCAGGTGGAAGAATGGACAGGCTGCTGAATGAGCCTGTAGACAGCCACCATGTGCCAAGCTGGTGACCTCATTTTGAAGGAAGATGAACTTAAATGAACTCCTCCCGGCCCCGCGCAGTTTCTCGCTGCCTCTTCCCCCGATCACCATGCTGCCCTGCTCTCGGGCCTCGCGCCGCGCGGCTGCTCCAAGTGCCCACGGCAGCCGGGCTCCACGTGCGCGCCCTTTTGTGTTCTTGCCTCTGGAAGCCCGCGGGGCCCGGGGGAGGCTGGAGGATTCCTGCAAGCACTGGGTGTGCGCTAGGAAGGTTTCCAGTTCCTTCTTCTTGACCTTCCTTAAGCCCCAGAAGCACTTTGCCCAGGAGCAAAGCTGCTCCCTTTGCGTGGTGCTGAGAGGATGAAATTGTGACACGGGAGCGGAGGCCGTAGTTGTAGGGCTGGGAGGGGCTCGCTCTGACCCAGAGGCCACCGAGCAGCTGGAAGGCTTTTCTGTGACTTTCTGCATTGGCCAGTGCTCTGTGCTTGAGGTGGAGGACGCAGGGTTGCTCTTAAACCGTAGCAGAACCTGAAGGAAGGTCTGACGCGCTGTTGTTTTTTATTTGCTTTTCAATTGAAACCCATCCTCCGCTAAACTGACACGCTGCACGCGCCAGTTTGAACAGAGCTTTCCCCGAAGGCCAGCAGCTTCCTGGCTTCCTCCGGGCTCCTTCCCCGCAGTGTCCGCCTTCGGGAAGGCCCACAGGACCCCGGCTCCGATTGTGCCCTCTGGGCCTGTAGCATCCCAAGAGGGTGAGATAAGACACAACACGGGCCGGGCGTGCTCTTGGGATCTTCCTTGTCTACTTGCTTGATGGGCGTGATGGGTGCCCAGCAGCAGCTGGAAGGACTGTGCACGTGTTACCCAGAAATGACAAATGTCATTTCAGGTTGGTTTTGACTCTGGGCGGGGTGGAGTGATACAGAGACTGGCCTGTAGTCTTTGCTTTTGATCATTTGGGGTTCTCTGGTCGCCTGTACCAGATTTTCCAGACTGTCTTTTTCTGATGTTGCAAGACTCCGTGCTCCTGGGTTTTCCTTGTATTCTGCCCCCACTACCACCACCCCAGTTGAGCAGGACCGATCTGTAAATTCTGTGAAATTTCAAAAGAAGAATCAAACCATTGTGACACTGCTGGACCTTTTGTTACGCAAATCTCATTAAGAGACTAGAACTCTCAAAGGTTTTTCAAAGGGTCCAACTAAATTTTCATTACCCCGCTCCACCCAGGCCTCTGTGACCCCCATCCTCGGCTGCCTCTCTGTCTAGACCTCCCCCGCTCCACCCCCCAGAGGAGGCAGGGACTTGAGAAGGGCCTCGGAAGGCCTGAGTGGGCTCTGGCCATTGTTGGAGCCCGTGGCCGGTCTGTTTGCGCTGGTGGCGGGGAGGGAGCCGCAGGGCTGAGGACAGAGTGTGTTCCCCCGGCAGAGGCGGGCTTGCAGTGAACCTCCAAGAGCCCAGCTCCGGCGTGCACACCCTTGGGCTCCAGGCCCTGGCGTGGGTGCCGTGCGGTGTCTGGCCTCAGCCTGGCTCAAGGAGAAGAACCAGCTTCCTCGCTCTTCAGTCTGGTTTTACAAATGAGAGAGCCCTGGTGTTTGTCAGAACAGGGGTTTCGGAGTCCGTTGAAGGTACTTGTCTGCTCTCGGGTGAGGGCCGGGGTGCGGAGGACACCTTTTCCTCCCCTAAGTGGCAGAGGACCGCCGGGCCTCTGGGTCTGCCGCAACTGCCTCTTACCCTTGTGTCTTGTGTCCACCTGTCTGCAGGGGGCGAGAGCATCAAAAGCATAAATCAGCAGTCAGGCGCGCACGTGGAGCTGCAGCGGAACCCCCCTCCCAGCACTGACCCCAGCCTGCGGATGTTCACCATCAGGGGTGTCCCTCAGCAGATCGAGGTGGCCAGACAGCTCATAGATGAGAAAGTTGGCGTACGTACAAGGTCCTTCCCTGCCCGGCTTAATGATAGCTGGCTTTTCTTCTGGACGTCCAAGGCACCCGCTCCTCCCCAGAACCTGGTACCTCCTGTGCCTTCCGGTCCGCATGTCACATGAGGGCGGCCCCTCCCACGTTGCCAAGGGGGAAGGTTGGGGCCCAGGGATGCCAGGGCCAGGCCCCGGGCGCGCTGGAGGAAGCCCCCTGGCAGAACTCACCGAGGCCCCCGAGGCCCCGCAGCGCAGCAGCTCAGGCCCAGAGCCGGGTCCCCTGCAGGCTTAGATGAGCAGCTGGGGCAGCAGCCTTCCCCCAGCACCGCCCTGGCGGCCAGCCCTGCAGGCGGCTTTCATTGACTCTGGCTTTAGTTTCAGGCACCTCAAAGCAGATAAAGAAAGGGAGTGTTGATGGAGGACAGATTGGCCACTGCTCACCTCAAAGGGGACGTAGAATGGCAGAAAGAGCCATGGGCCAGCCTAAATTGACGGGAGAGTCAAGCAGGTTGGTCCCTACCCCCAGGGTGACGCGCTAGGGCACCTGTGACGGCGCTCGTATGGGCTGTGTGGTGGTTTCGGTCACTCGAGGGGGCAGAAGCCACTTCTGCAAGCGAAGCCCCTGTGGGGAAGCGAGGCTAGCGAGTGTCAGAGGATATCTGGATGTCACTTGACTCTGTCCCCAAAAGCTGTAGTCTGCCGGGGGTGGGAGGGGCCTGGGCGGAGGGCAGAGGCGCAGCCAACGCGAAGTGAGAGCTACCTGTGTGCCCCTGACAGGGGACCAGTCTCGGAGCGCCCGGAGCCTTTGGACAGAGCCCTTTCAGCCAGCCACCCGCCGCACCTCATCAGAAGTAAGTCTCTCACGGTCTCGGCGGGAAGAGTTCACTCCGTCAAGAGGTCCTCTCTCCAGCTACTTCTGGGGAGGGCCAGCCGAGAGCCTGGGTGTGAGCAAGACTCTTCCCTCTGCCTCCCTCGGCCGGCCCCTCTAGCCTGTCCATAGCCAACTGGCCGGTCCCAGGGGTGAGGGCCTTCCCGCAGGGAGGAGGGCCTTGTCAGCGCAGGCATCCCCGAGCGGCTGTTCCCCCCGCCGGTGGTCCTCAGCCTGCCATGTTCATTTGTTCTTCACTTTCTTTCAGCACGTTTCCCCCGAGGAGCTCGGGCTGCTTCCCGAGCATTGCTGCTAAAGTGAACGGAAACCCGCACAGTACCCCTGTGAGGTAGGCGACCTCTCACTCCCTCCGTGTGGTTCTCTCGGGACTCTTGGGACCAGGGCTGCCACGTGGCCACTGCCCAGGGGTGGGGGGGAGCCGTGAAGCACCAGATCACGGATAGCCTGGCGGGAGGTGGATCCAGTTGAGGAGATGGGGGTGTGGCTTGCTCTGGAACGAATGACTCTTTTGTCCTCCGTAGTGGTCCTCCAGCCTTTCTGACCCAGGGATGGGGCAGCACCTACCAGGCGTGGCAGCAGCCCACACAGCAGGTCCCAAGTAAGTGACCCGGGAGGAGGTGGGACTGCGCACGCCACATGGGAGGGCTGGGGGGCTGACGTGTCTGGAACGCTCTAGTTGCATCTCTTGGCCAGTACGCCCGCACGTCCCTCCCCGGAGCTGCCAGGAGCACCTGGGGCAGCGGGAGCCACCAGCAGCCCTGTGGTGGGCCTCCAGCGGAGCAAGGGAGGAGGCCGGCCCTCTCCTGGCCCCCCTTCCAGCCTTTCTCTCCCATCTCCTCTGTTCTTCTCAGAGCTAGGGGCTCACAGATGGGTTGGACCTGGCCCAGCCTGCAGCCCCTCCCCTCACTGCCCTCCCAGACAGGCCCCCACCCCGGCTCGGGCCTGTTGGTGACCATCTCCCCCTTTTCTCTCCAGTACTGCCTTAGAAGGGATGGTCTTTCTGTCTCCTGAACGTTCCAGAAAGCACACAGCTGGAGAGTTAGCTCAGTGGAGGGACACCTCGGCGGGACAGCTGACCATTAGAGAAGGTCCCTGTCGGTGTCCAGTCCCCTCGGCCTGCCCCCGGGCCCCCACACAAGCTTCAGGAATCCTTCTGGAGTTGGATTCTCACGCAGCCTTCAGAGCCAAACCAAACCAAGCTGCTTACCTTCCGTGCTTCGCCCTGCGGCTGTTTCTGTCGGGGGCGTCCTTCCACGCGGCTGCCTGTGGTCCTCGTAGCGCCACTCCGCTTTGTGGCTGCTTGGCTCACAAGGGACGGAGCCCGGGTCCCGGCCCCTCCCGCTGCCCCTTGAGCAGAGCGCCGCTATGAGGAAGCCCTGCCCGGGGTGCCTGCTCCAGGTCCCAGCTGCACGAGCACCCTGTGGGGTCTGGAGTCCAGAGGCCGAGGCCGTGTGTGGCCTTACACACCTTCCCCTCCTCTGGCCTCCAGTTGGTGTCTAAGAAATGAAAGGTTTGGGTTCGATTTCCAGAGTAACCGTGAGCTCTGACATTGTATGGTTGCATTTACCCCCCCCCCACCTTTTTTTTAACAAAATGTCTCAAACATGCAGAATATTAGAAAGAATTTCACCGTGAACACCTGCACGCCCCCCCCCCTCCCGCCCTTGCCAGAGTCCCCGGGCCCGTCTCACCGCACTCACTTGCTCCCAAGCCTGTTTGCGTTTCCTGTTCTGATGGAAAAGGGCCTGCGAGACAAGAGGTGGCCCCGGGCTGTCCCGGGCGGACTTTACATTTGCTCCATTGTCCGGGACAGAGACTCTTGTGGGAAAGCCCTAGACTGGGGGCGTGGGTAGGGGACATGTCCTCCTGCCTGAGGGGAAGTGACCCCTGTGCCACGGTTCCGCGCCCCAGCTCTGCTCCCCAGCTCCACTCCCCGCCGCAGGCAGAGGCCTATAGGGCAGAGTGAAAGAAAACACAGGGCCTGGGTTCTTGCCTCTTCCCGTCCTTCGTCTCGTGGTGCTGAGCTGTGTTTGTCTCTAGGGGCGGTGAGAACTGGTTTCTGTCAGTGAAATCTCGTTTGGAAGAACCGGCCCGCTTTCCCACACCCTCCAACCACCCTGTTCTGTGCCCAGTATTGTCCTGAGGCCCTTCACGCCCTACTGGGAGGACCAGGACGGGGAGGGGATGCTGCTCCCCGTGTGCTCCTCCCACCTCACTTCCTTTCCCAGCCCCACACACAGACTCCTGTCACCCCACACCCCTCCTCAGACTGCAGTAAATCACTTAGCAGGGAAGACACTTTGCCGTGACCACGGTCACCAGCGTGTCCTGCCCGCTGGCTGCCACCTGCGGTTCTAACAGAAGACAGGACAGAAGGGGGGCCAAGCAGGGAACACACAAGCCAGCCCTGACCTCGGTGGGGAAGAAGGTCCCGACTTGTTGCTCTGGTCAGGGCTTATGAATCCTTCACGCCCGGGCCAGGCGGCTGCCACTCCGCCCGCCCCCGCAAGGTCTTTGCTGCCAGTGCCAGGCAGAGCGGGCATCCCGGCTCGCCCGCCAGGAACAGCCCCACACACCTCCTGTCCCCATCTGCTCCTCCCCTAGAAGGGCACGAGGCTAAATCAGACTCAGGTGCATGTTGTGGCACTCGGCCCCTCTGCTGCGTGTACCCCGTCTTCTGTCACAGTCGCCAGGCTCGGTCTCTGAGCTGTTTTCCCACGTGCTTTCCCTGCACTTGGGCTTGTCCGGAGTGAAAGCCATTAGTCTGTGCAAGACCGGCCGGGTGACCAGAGTGCGGTCAGCACCCCTGGGATTCTTTGTCCGGTTTGGAGGGCGACTCAGGGAGCCTCAGACTCTGTCACTCTGGCCTCGGGGGCTCCCCAAGCTCAGATCTCCATCTGAAGGGTCGAGGCTGTTCTGACCCATTGCTCTTGGGGGTTAGCTGTCCTGTCAACGCCCTCTTCACAGGGACCTCCGTCACTCCTCCCAGGCCCCCTGCAGGCATCGCGGTTTCCCTGGCCACTGCCCTCCGGGGCAGCGGGACTGGGCCCGGGCTAAGTAAGGCGCGGCACTCAGCCGGCGGGGGCCTGACGGCTTTTGTGTTCCCCGCACAGGCCCGCAGAGCCAGCCGCAGAGCCGCCAGCCCGACTACGGCAAGGCCTGGGAAGACTATTACAAAAAGCAGAGTGAGTGAGCTGGCCTTCTGACGAAGCAGACCCCCAGGCCCCGTGCCCCCACGCCTGTCTGTGGGCCTCCTTGCCCGTGGTTCCCTGTCACCTTTGTTTTTTTCTTCAGTGTTTTCCCTGTGTGACTTGGTCTCAGTCCCCGCTTTTGTCTCCCTGCGTCCCCTGTGTGTCCGTCAGAGGGAACGTGGTGAAGTCGCCCACCTTCTGGACGCCAAAGGGCCTGAGGACAGCTTGGGGCCTGCTGTCCCGTCCTCAGCCGTCCCCTCTGGAGCCGCTGGGCCAGGCCTCAGAGCAGCAGGCATCCCGGTCCGTGGCCGTCGCGCTGCCTCCCGGCTCTTTTTGGTCGCTTCAGGGCAGGGACCAGAGAAAGGGTGAGACGGCAGGAAGGGGGCCTGCCATCAGAGCCGGTGCCCGGGCGCCAGTTTCCCTGCTCGAGTAAGCTCGTGCTCTCAGCTGTGCCGGGAACCAAGCCCATCTTGTTAACAAGAGAAGAAAAGAATCGAGTAACAGCAACCAAAATGAGTCCTAAATCCCCGGTACAGTTTCCGAAGTGCCGGGCGGGAGTGTGGTCGGGGTGGAGCCGGCCGGTGTGACCGCGCGGGGCATTCCCTGCTGGTTGGCAAAACCAGGCCGAGGGCCGCAGTGGCCCGCTGAGAATCACCCCGGGCTTCGGTGGGGTCAGGGAGGTCATCGCCGCCCGGAGCCCCTGCTGAGACGCCAGATGCCCCGCCTCCCCCAGACCTCCCAAATGCAGACGCGCAGGCACGCGTGGGCCTGTGTTTCCAGCCGTCCTGGGATTGGAGCCTGCGCAGGGGCACCCCCGCACCCAGGCCGGGGACCCGCACTCCTTTCCCTCTTCCTCCCTCCCGCTCGTCTCCCCCTCCACCCACCACCACCCGGCCGACTGTCTGTGCTGTTTCTCTGTGTGTCTCTCTCTGTCTCTCTGTCTGTCTCTGTCTCTGGCAGCTGTGGGGCAGGCAGACGGGCCGCAAGGGTGATGGGAAGCACCGACAGCCAGCCGTGAGGTCTGGGGGCAGAGCAGGGCCAAGCAGCAGGCAGCTCAGAGCTCTCTGTGCCCCTGGGCAGCGCCCGGCCGCACGGCGTCCCGGTGGCTCGTCCAGCGTCCAGAGGGAGACTGCGTCGGCCCTTGTTCCAGCTGTCCCGGGACCCCTCCGAGCTGACAGCGCCCTTTGCCTTCCCCGAGTTTGTCGCCACCCCCGCTAACCTCCGTGCTTTCCTTTGTCAATCAGGTCACGCTGCCAGCGCCGCTCCTCAGGCCAGCTCCCCGCCGGACTACACAGTGGCCTGGGCGGAATATTACAGGCAGCAGGTCGCTTTCTACGGGCAGACGTTAGGGCAGGCGCAGGCCCACAGCCAGGTCAGTAGCGGCGCGGGCACCTCCAGGCCAGCCCGAACCCCCTTCCTCCCGGGCCTGTGGCAGGAAGGCCGGGCTGTGGAGGAATGGCTCAGGCTCCATGCCCTGGAGACAGCAGGTTTGGGCCCCGTGAGAGAGGAAGTGCCTGCCCCTCCCTCATGTCCGAGCCCTGAGACTGTGGTGCCGAGGGGCACTCCGTTTCTCTAGGCCTCAGTTTCCCCCACCGTCCACGAAATGACCAGACTTTATGACTCTGGGCGGGCTCGGCACTGCAGTAGGGACTGTGGGAGTCACACTCACCACTGTTCTTAAAGAGAATGGTGGCCAGACTGTCCCCCAGTCAGCGGCAAGGGGCAGCAGGAGGAGGGCGAGTCCAGACACTCTGAAGGCCGGGGCAGAACGCCAGATCTCCACCCTGTGTGGAAGCCAGGAGTGCTCTGTCCAGGCAGAAGCCGAAAACGGATTTCTTACTAACATAGGGAGCATGGCCAAAGGCTGCCCTAAGGCGTGTCTCAGGTGTGCTCTCCAGGTGACCTGATGCTGGCCAGGTCCCCATGGACAGCATGCCGGTTCCCACAGCCCCTAGACCCAAAGCTCGCTGGTCATCTCACTGCCAAAGTGGTCCCTCTGTGCCTGGGCCCAGTGGAGACAGGTGTCGGGGCTGGTGGGTGGCCAAGGGGAGGGACGCGCTCCCCTGCCCCACCCCCCGTACCTGGGCTTGGGGAGCTGCCCAGGGCCTCCTGTGCAGGAGAGGGTTTGTTTGTCCTGGATCCCAGGATGCATGGACGCGGGCCATGTGTTCGTGCCCCCTGAGGAGCCAGAGGGGACCTGTGCCCCAACCCCTGAACCTTCAGAGCCCCAGACTGAGACGAGGTCATAGGAGCTGACCTCACTAACTTCTGTCCCCTTCTTTCCGCAGGAGCAGTAGGACGGCAACCTGCGGCTCTTTCCTCCCCGAAATCATTGTGAGCGAAAACCTATTTGTAACAGAGGTTTTTAGATTTGCAAACCTTTTGATGAAGAACCTTTGTTTTGTTCTGTGAAACACTATATTTAGATTAACAGGATTTTTCTAAAAATCGGGAAAATTAGTTACTAAAAATTGCTGATAATTTGTTTCATTATTTTTGTTTGTTATTTCAAATGTGTAAGCTCTGGGATTCTCTCTGGAGTGAGACCTGCAAATTCAGGCACCAGCGCGTGCCTCAGAGCAGTGACATTTCAACACGATGTGTTTCTGTTTTGTTCTGTTCCGTTTTGTTGTGTGTCTTTTTATTTACAGTTTTTTTCTGTTGCAACAGAAAGTGGCTTGGAAGTCTTAGGTGGTATGTAACAAATTCTTTAAAAAATTTTTAAACAGTATTTAAATATTCTTAAATGTGTAAATTCATTAAATGTTTTACTTCTAATTTCTTGTTATCTTGGCTGTCTGGTTTTATTGCATTTTTTTAAAAAACTGAACTATTATGTATTGTAATTAATTATGTGAATTCTGAATTGAGACAGATAATTGTATTGCTGTCCAATAGGGATTGGGAGGGGGCATTTTATAGGGTTTGTATAATTTCTAGAGTGCTAAAGGGGTAATATAAAAACGTGTCCGTGTGTTTAGCATACGTTTTTTTTTTCGTGTCTCCATTACCAGTTGCAATTGTGTATCTAAGACCTCCAAGCTTGTTTTAAAAACAAAACGAAAAACCTTTCTGTCTTCTCTCAGAAATATAAATACTGTTATTTTTAATATTAAAAAGAAATTCGATATAACTTTTAACAAACACTGTGGAACGTTAAACCGCGTTAAAATGTAGTAACTGTTGTTTAATTCCAAGATGTTTCTTCCTTTTTTCTTTTAAATATTTTCTTAATATTTGTCAAATTAACTAGATGAATAAATAAATCTAGTATTAACCACCATATGAATTAAATAATTTTGATTTAATAAAAGGGATAATATGATTTCCGGTGTTTACTGTAGTGCGTCTTGTACAGATAACATGTATTTTTAAAGGAAAGAAAAACGAAGTCGAAGCTATTTTTTCTTGCATTTTTAATTGACCTGAGGGACATTCCGTTTGAAATGTTTCTGGGTTTTTCTCCTTATTTTCCTTATAATGCTTGAAATGTCTAACTATTAAAAAAAGGCAGTTGGAAAATGTTATGCATGTCGTTTTTAAAAAAAAAAAGTGTTCTTTTTATTTGACTGACAATTCATTTTACACTCTATATAATAAAATTTCCACAAGCCGTCTTGTGGGCGAAGTATTTTTAGTCTGTTTGCTTTCCTTTCCGCCCAGGCCCCTCCCTCTGCCCCCGTGCCCCCCGAATAAAATCGAGCGAAGGTTCTCACTCTACCAGCCCGACTTGGAGCCCGATCTAGATTTCTAGCTACTTCGTTAAGCTAATTTTATTTTAATGGCTTTGCATAATTTGACAGTCTGACTCCAGAGCCTTGGTTACCATCAGCCCCTCTTACCTGTCAGTCTAAGCCGCTCTTGACGTGGGTGTGACACTGAGAAGTCAATAACGAGTGTCCTCGAGCAGAGGCGCTGGCAGGAGAAGCGGAGCTGGAAGCTTCATTTAAGGGAGGTTGTGACCAGCTCCCGCAGCTGGATCAGCTCACTTCCCGTAACTGAGTCAGCTCGCCCCCTCCCTCCACCCGCTCCCCCCCAACACACACACACACACACACACACCCCTCCCTGGCGCAGAAGGTAGGGCTGCCTTGGCCCGGCACACTGGGCCGCTGCCGTCCTCCCACAGTCTTCTCTGGCTGCGGCTGCCCGGGCTGCTCCCTCCTGGCACGCCAGGAGGCATTTACTCTGGGCCCCGGGCCACGCTGGGGGGCCCAGGGTTGCCAGGAGGGCTGGCAAGTGCCAGCTGAGGTGCTCATTTGCTGTTGGTGTTTCCATCAAGGAAACAAAAGGAGGGTCCTCCTCCCCCAGAGGTGTAACTCAGGGAGGGTCCAGGGGTTTCAGGACACAGCGGGACAGTGGGGGCCCTTCTGTGGAGGATATCAAGGAAGAGCCTTCGACTCCTCTTTTTTCCTCCTTCCTTTCTGGTCCGTTGAAGCGACCGGCTCCAAACACAGCTCCCGACTTCCCCGTTTGAAAATGCCCGGCCTTTGCTGCTAGCTTGATGTGTGTCGTCTCACTTAGACGCCCGGTGCTGGGAGGATCCCGTGTAGAGCCCTCCTTATGGCTGTGGGTGTGTGTGAGTGTGTGTGTGTCTCCAGTTCAGGTCCCTTTTCTCTTTTCTACCCCACGCTCTAAGAGGAAGGGGAAAAAAGCATCTGTGGCTCCTTGAGGCCGAAAAGGGGTGTGGAGAGCAGCCCATCTGCGCCGTTCTGAGGCCTGTTGAGAGCCGGAAGACAAAAAGGAGCAGTGGCATCTTTAACTACACCTCCAGAGAATCGAGTTTGACGTTGAGAAATTGAATAGTAAAAGCCACTTGGAAAGAAGGAGGGGCGAGCAGGAGGAGGGCATAAACGCTGATGATGGAAATGGGAGTTGGGGAGAGGGCATTACAGAGAAGACTTCCTTCTAATTCATCTTCCAAGCTCTGTGCCAAAACAGCATTTGGCATGGTTCACAGGGAGCGATTGTGTGATAATGAACCCTAAGGTGTCCCTTAATTGAAGACTGAGCATTGCGGTTTGTGCCAAGAGTCATAAATGCTGCAGGCTTGCGAGAGGATGCATTTTCTTAAATGTATCGGTAAGTACAGATTAGCGCTTGTCCCCAGTGAAATGCCCATACTATAAATTATGGAAATCTCTCTCCCTCTCTCTCTCTCTCTGATGCAATCTTTTATTGAGGCGGGGGAAGGCGGGGTCCAGGACAGCAGGAGGCGGGGGGGAAAGTTTGCAAGCATATGAAATTTGGCCTCTCATTAACATGGCGCCCACAGAAGATGGTTTTCATCAGCAGTCTGGTGTCCTGGAAGGCTAAAGTGCTTGAAATGTACCAGGTTCAGCGATTGTGTTCCATTAAGAAAGCTGCATGGTCATCATGGAAAGGACAAGTCTGTGTTTGGGGAGGTGGGGGCGGGGCGGGGGCCCAGTCTGTCTTCAGAACTCTGCCCCCGGCCTCCCACCCACCACCACGCATGCGCACTCCATCTCTGCCCACTGCCCCGGGGTCCGAGTTCCGGGTTCCAGGACGGGGCTTGGCTGTTCCCATCCAACCCCAGAGTTTCGGGGTAGTGGTGGGGAGTGCTCCAGCCAGCGTCCTCCATCAGCATCCCTGCCCTCTCGTCATGTAGGAGGTGGTGTCTTTTCCATGTCCCCTCTAAGGGGTGGCCACCCCATGATGTCCTACAGCTCTGGCCCCCCGCACCCCAGAGGCTTGGCTGGGGCACAGATGGCATGAGGCAGGAGCTGGTCCATGAGGGCGCTGGGACACCTCGGAGCCTCCGCTCCTAGCTGGCTACAGCAGCTTGGTTTCCCAAGCCCCGCTTCTGGTCCACTGGGGCCCAGCTGGGGTTTTCTGTAGACAGGCTAATGCAAATGGTCCTGACAGACTTTTAGAGATTAATGGCCAGAAAGTGGCTTGACACAGTTCCGAAGGGGGTGCTGGCCCAGGGTCCGTGCCTCGTGTGGGTCGGAAGGGGCAAGTAAAGACAGCCCTCATCAATGAACCACGGAAACAATGGGGAGCCTTGCTGGTCTCTGTCCCGAAGGCCTTCCAGGAGCACCTAGCCGGGGACTTCTGGTCCATGGCAGGCATCTCCTTTGCTGAGGGTCTCCACACCCTGGAGGGTAGCCAGGACCGTTCCCTGTTCACAGACGAGGGCTCAGAATCTGAAGATAAGAGACTTGCTCTCGTACACACAAGTGTAGGGGCGGGTTCTGTGCCAAGCTCTAGGCTGGGCTTCATCTAGGGTTTCATTCGAGAGCATAATGGCTGCTCTTGGCGGGACACTGCAGTCACCACCAAATGAGGCGGTCCATGGAGGGGGGAAATGGCCTGAAAGCTTAGTGTTGAGTATCAAGCCTGGGCCAGGCCCTATCCGTCCATCACAGTCGATCATGGTCTTGGATTCCATATTTACAAATTCACATACTCGCTGAAATTTATTTACAATCTTAAAGCACATCCCCCGTCCCGCTCTCCTGCAGTCATTCTCAGCAAATCTGAGTTGCCCAATGCGCACGTTTCTGCACACGTTTCTAACCGAGGACAGCCCCCGCCGCCCACAGGTCACAGCTGTCGGGCCATAGGCATGTGTCCGCCTTGCCGTCTATCTAGTGCCACAATTTTGCAATGTCTCTGCTTTCTGTCGGTGATTTTGCTGCTTAAAATGGCCCCCAAGCATAGTGCTGGGAGTCTGGCACTCCCACGTGGACACTGCGTGTCACGTAAATTTGACCGTGAGTTTGATCTTCAGGAATTGACAATACATATTAGGCAAGGTGCCTTTAAACAGAAACACACATAAAACACAGTTATGTACTGATTGATGAAAAGTTGTGACCCGAGGCTAGAAGGACCCCAACTCTGCACGCCCCGCTGGGAGTGATGGTGCCATATTCACCGATCCCAGTTCTCCGAGGTCTTGTAGAACGCGGCCACACCTCAGACAAGGAGAATCAACTATCTTACTTTCCGCAGAGGACCCCACTACTCTTGGGGCTCATGTTGGAGACAGGGAAACAGGTTTGAAGGGGTTCTTGCTATCGTCATACCATGGGCATGAGGTGGCAGAGCCCGGGCTCAGACCTCAGTCTGACTGCAAAACCTGCCCGCGTGTCCACTTTCGTGGGCAGAAATGGCACTTGGGCAAAGGCCAACTAACTTGGTTCTAGAGGGACCCAGCAGGTTCGGTCCACCTGGGGCAGCAGAGCGCAGGGGATAAAGGTGTGGACACTCAAAGTTGGGGTTTTTGTTTGTTTTGTTTTGATTCTATTTTATTTATTAGAGAGCGAATGCACGTGTACGTGAGCAGGGGAGGGGCAGAGGGTGAGGGAGAATCTCAAGCAGGCTCCAGGCTCAGAGTAGAGCCTGATGTGGGGCTCCATCTCAGGACTCTGAGATCCAGACCTGAGCTGAAATCAAGAGTCAGACGCTTAACCCACTGAGCCACCCAGGAGCCCCTCAAGCTTTGGTGTGAGCACCGTCCCCACCACTCAAAGGCTATGACCGAAGAAAAATCATTTAAGATTCTATGCCTCCATTTCTCCATCTGCGGTGTGGAGATAAGAGCTGTTTACCGGGTCATGGGCTGAGCTAAGATTCTATGACAAATATGTAAAGCACTTGACCCCTGCCTCACAATGAGAACCCAAAACACGACAGCTCCTAGTAATAATTGAGCCCAGGGCTACTGTTGCTTCTTCTTCTTCTTCTTCTTTTTTTTTTTTAAGATTTTATTTGTTCATCTGACAGACAGAGATCACAAGGAGGCAGAGAGGCAGGCAGAGAGAGAGGGGGAAGCAGGCGCCCCACCAAGCAGAGAGCCTGATGCGGGGCTCTATCCCAGGACCCTGAGATCATGACCTGAGCCAAAGGCAGAGGCTTTAACCCACTGAGCCACCCAGGTGCCCCGAGCCCAGGGCTTCTGACTACTCCTGAGGCTTTTTCTATTCCACCAGGAATGCCAAGAGCTGAGTGTGTGATCTGAAAAAAGTATCCTCACCACTGACCCTCTAGCTGCTTCTGGGCTCTCCTGGTCTCCCCAGGATTCTGTGACCCCAGGTCTAGCTCGCTGGTCCCCTGAAGCCACGACAGCTAGGTCATTAGGAAAGAAGGGCCCCCAAGGGCAGGTGCGGCGACTCTGGAAGAAGTCAGGACGCCCCGCCACACACACACACACACACACACACACACACACCCCGCTATGTGCCACCGCTGTGCAGGAGACAACTTTGGCCAGCCTTGAGTGGATCCAGGCTGCCGAATTCTGGCCTGCAAGGTGATGATAAGGCGATCCTCCTTCAAACACACGAGAAAGGATTCTGATCCTTTGTGTCTCCCCTTCTCACAGCAGCCTCTCTAATCTTCCCAGGAAGCCCCGACCCCTGCTGGGGGACCTGCCTGGGCCCCCCACTGTCCCAGCTGCACTTGCTCTGAGTTCACACAACCCTCCAGAAATCCATGTACCTTCAGTTCCCTGGGGTGTCGTCGGGTGCTCTCAGCTGTGCTTAAGAGAAGA